CTGGGGACCCGTCAGTGTGTCTGTGGGGGTTCTGTGGGGAGCTCATTGTGGGGAACTGTGTGGAGGGTCTGTGGGGTATCTGTGGAGGACTCTTGGGAAGACTGGGGACCCGTCAGTGCGTCTGTGAGGGTCCTGTGGGGAGCTCAGTGTCGGGAACTGACTGTGCTGCTTTGTGGAGGGTCTGTCGGGTGTCTGTGGAGGACTTTGGGGGTCTCTTAGTAGGAGTCTCTCTCAGGGATTCTGTGGAGATCTCTATGGGGGTGTCTCCGTCTGGGTCTCTGGGAGTTTCTATGGAGGCGTCCGTGGAGGATTCTGGGGGTATCCCAGTGAATCTGTCAGGGATTCTGTGACAGTGTCCATGTCTCTGAGGGGGTCTCTGTGGAAACACCCCCGTCCATAGCCTTCTTGCCCCTCATGAAGGACAGGGCTGGTGGCAGGAGAAGGGACAGAAGCTTGTCTCCACCTGCCCCTGTCTGGCCCGTTGGCATTGCTGTCTGTGGTACTTGTCCCCACTGGAGCCATGTTGTGCTTGTCCAACTCCTTCCCACCCAGAACTTGCCACTTGGGTACATGAGAGGACCTGGCAGGGCCTGGCCCGGGCCATTTCTGCTTTCCCTCTGGAGCTGCCTGGACACCCGAGGAGACGGGACCTGGCTCAGGAGAGGCCTGTGGTGTTGGGCCCACACCCTGCGGGCCGCTCAGTCCCCTGCTCAGGGAGGGTCTTGGTAGGCATGTTTCCTGCCTCAGCGGTGCCTCCTGGAGCAGGACTGCCCACCAGGGAATGAATGAGGCCCATGGAGCAGTGCCCACTTGTCACTGTGTACGGGGCGCAGCATGGAACACTCTAGAGAAATGGATCCTCTCCCTGCTTTGTGGTTTTCTGCTTTCCCATATGGACAGGCCCCGAGAAGAGGAAATCTGGACTGGAAGCAGAGCAAGGCCCAGAAGGGACCAGTCCTGGCCTGTCCCCCTCCCCAGGAAACTCGCACATTTTGAACAGGTCACTTTCCCTTGTGGGAACAGATCCTGTCTGATTGCCTTTCCCCTGGAAATCTGTGGGGCACACAGGACTGAAGCCAGGAGACTTGCTCTGTGACCCCAGGCTGCCTGCTTCTTCCAGGGAGTGTGACTAGAGCTGTGTGTATGTGTCAAGGTCCCAAGGCTCAAGTCACCATAGTGCCCGGGTCCTGGACTTCCACCCACTGTCAACTCCTCCTTTCTGGAATCCAGGAGAGTGTTGTACAGGCCGGTTAGTGTCCCCTTCAGAAACCCACCACCTCTGCTGGAAGGATGCCGCCTTTTAGGTGTGGGTCAGAGCTTCTGCAGGCCTGTGCTGGGGGAGCCTAGGGCAGGCCCAGGGAGAATGGGGTGACCAACTCAGCCCACGACGTCTCCTTCCTCCCAGCTGCTGGCTGCACCGAGAGAGCACGGCACCACTTAGGATGACCCCATGCCACCCCGCCTTCGTCCTTGGCTCAAACATCTCACCCTGGACCCACCATGACAAATCACTGGACAGTTACTGCACAAAGAGTTCTACCCAGAAGAGGGCACCGGGCTGCTGACCCTTCCCTCTGCCTCCACGTGGCATAGACAGAAGCCACTACCTCTAATGAGACAAAAAAGTGAATTAGAAAGCAGTGGTCCTCTCCAGAGAAGAACATCAGCACCAAAGAACGTCCATGAGGCAAAGCAGTCGTTCTCTGTGTGGACTGATATGTATTTTTTTTTCAGAAAGAAAACTTTTCTTACCAGGAAAACTGAAAAACAGGGTATGTTTGACCAGATAAAACCTTTCTGAAGACGGCGTGTTAGGTAATGATGGAGGTGACCTGAGATGCCTGCCCCCTTGGCCTAAGCTGGCAGGGACTGGCTGGGGGGACAGGCTCCCTGAGCAGCCAGGACTGACTGCTGTCCTGTGGCCCTTGGGGCTGGCATGGTGATTACAGGCCCTGTCACTATTTATCCTTGGCTCTATGGAGGAGGGACCCCTGTGGTGACAAGATGGCCCACCACGAGGGGCCTGGGGCTCCTCTTTATGTCAGTGTGACTCTGGTGGAGAACCTCCATGCTGATGTGCCAGCTTGTCCCCCAGGATCTGTCCAACAGCTGTCACGGGCTTCAGCCGTGTCATTATCCATCGGCACTGTGCTGGAGACGGGTCTCTGCATCTTGGTAGTGGCTGACAGGGGTTTGACGTTTTGCAAGGAATCTTGCTGCCCTCTGCCTTTTTTATTGGGGTGCAGAGACTGCAAAACGTGATTCTTCCTCCTCTCAGTACAGCTTTCTGGAGGAGCTGACCTTTCTCTGGCAGGGAGGGGAGGGACTTCCCTCTCAGGAGGCTCCTCCTTCTCCGCCTCTGTCTTTCTGGTCTCTTCAGATCTCGAGGACTGGGACTGTTCTTTGATTGCCGGCATTGCCGTACCAGAGCAGGGGTCTCCTGAGGCCACAGCTCCCCTCTCCTCCCCTGGCTCATCCCTGGCCTCTCTCAGGCCTGGACTGGGCTTGAGGCTGCCTCTGGCCATTCCTGTGATGATCCTGCTGTGCCGGGTTCTGCCTGAGAGACTGTAAGGGTAAGGGTCCTGCCTTCTCAACCTGAGGGCGGAGGGCCCATGGCTGCCACCCAGTGGGGCTCCTCTCCTCTCTGCAGGTGAGGGGTCAGGGAGGGGACTCTGCAGGGTGGGAGCTGCTTTTCTTTTCATCGCCTTCTCTCCTGGACCTTTCCAAGGAAGTCCTTCTGGGAACCTGGCCACCTTGGCCGTTGAGGCGTCTGTGGAGTCACAGGGGACCCAGGGCAGGTCTGACTGTGCAAGGGGCGAGCCTGGCTTCTCATCCGAGTCTTGACTCAGGGGACCTAGGGCCTGCAGGTCTGGACTCCACCTGTGTCGCACCCGAGACCTCATGATATCTGTTTCCAGCATCAGGTGAGTTCCTGGGTCCAGGAAGGAAAGGTTCTGGGAGGTGTTCACCCGAGACAGCTGGTCCTTGGAGGATGCTAGATTGACACTGTTTTTGTGGGTGCTGTACTTGGGAAAAGTGTAGTTGGAAGCCAGCCAGGATCCACGCACGTACACGGGGATTATGCCCTCGTTGATCTGTACCAACTTTCTGCTCAGATGGTCTTGCAGGATTTTTTCCAGAAGTTTCTTATTTGAATCCACAGATATGTCACTTCCTGAATCCTCCTTTTCCTTTTCCAGAACCTTTACTGAGCTGCCTCTTGAACTCCAGGGTAGACCTTGTGGGTCCCTCTCTAGGTCTTGCTCTGGGCCCTGGAGGAATCTTTCAGAGCGCCTGGACCTCACCTTCTGCCCACCTTTGCTTTTTCCACCAGCAAGTTCTGAGGGCCGGGCATCCAGGAAGGGGCCATGCTTGTCTTTAGCCTGGCACCCGGAACACTTCCTGGGGAATTTGCCCCGAGGCTGTGTCGAGTCCTGGGAGGCTGGGAGTCTGCCGGGAGGGCCGTGCTGGTGTGCATCTGTGGTGAACCTCCCTTGACTGTGTTTCTCTGGTCGCTCTTGGAGCTTGGTGCTGTGGGAATCCCTGGGAAGGGTGGAGGTTGACTTGGGGCTCCGGGAGCGGTGACTGCCCTGACGATGGTTGAGAGCTGATGGGCTGTGGGCTTCCTGAGGTTTTTGGAGTGAAGAGGGTGAAACCTTCCTCTGTTTATGTTGCTTCTGCAAGGGCCTTTGCACGTGCTGATTTTCAGTTGGGCTGAGAGGCCACACCTCCTCCTGGGATGTAGGGCAAATGGTTCTCTGGGTCCTCTTCTGGGGTGGAGAAGAAGGTGGTAGGTTTGGGGGAAAGGGTGTGAGGTGGGTGTGGTTCTGGGCCTGAGCCACAGATGGGGGCAGTGTTTGTGTTAGAAATTGAGATTGGGCCCCAGAGTTGGGCAAGGGCTGGTCCTGGGAAAGTTGTGGAGGTTCTTCAGCCAGAGATTGATCTGGGGAAGAGTCAGAGACTTTGTTAAATGTCACAGCTTTGCCTGGTGCAGAGGAGGACCTCTTGGGTACCCAGGCAGTGGCCACCAGGGACTCACTGTGCAGAGAGGGCAGGCCCCAGAAGAGCTGGCTGCGTTTGCGCTCTATGGAGTCCCCCGAGGCCTGGTGGTAGGAGAGATGCGGGGGGTCGGGAAGCTGCTCTGGCTTCCCTTCTGTGCCCCAGAAGGGGCGTGCGGTGGTGTCCCTCTTGTCCCCCCGTGACTGCAGCATTGTCCCCAGAGAGTCCGGGCAGTGCTCTGGGCCCACGGGTTTGAAGGAGGACCCGTTCCTGGCGTTCTCCTTCCACATTTTCAGTTCTGCTCTCTTGCTGATGAGCATCTCCAGCAGTGTCTGGACCTCAGGGTTGATGAAAGAGAGGCCCCCAACCTCTACTTGCTGGTGTGTGGGGTCTCCCCAGAGTGTGGAGTCTCGGGGATGGGGGGAAAGATGTCGGTCTTTCCGGGATCTGGCGTGGGTCCAGGTGGAGAAGAATAAGGCCTTGGTAGTGGTCCACCACCAGGAGAAAAACAGAATGCAGTAGCTGATGCAGTCAAGTCCTGAGATGGCTGTGGTCAGGGATGCCCAGTAGGAGTTAGCTGAGAGGGAGCCCTGTGGGATAGGGCCCAGAGGGACTCTGTTCAAGCCAGGCTGGTGGTCTTTAGCTTCATCGGATAGGGGTGAGGCCAGAGGTAGAGAGTGCTTGGTCAGGGGCAGCAGGGAGGTCAACAGGGACATGGAAGTAGAAGAAGAATGTTCCGCCTTCGGCAGAGGTGGCTGGTGGGCTCCAGCAGGCCTGGGTCTGAGTCCCTCACTCGGGGCATCTTCCTGTAACAGCTGAAGAAATGTCACGCTTTCATGGAACTCTCGAAGGTGGCTGTGGGGAACAGAAGGCACAAGCTGCAGTGATGAATGGGAGGGACCAAGAGGCTGTCCAGGGATGGGCACCTGTGGCCCCTGAACTGTCCACTGCCCCACATACTAGCTTCACCAAGTCCTGGCTCCCCCTGTTCCCAGGGCTTGGGTTACAGCCCACTCCAACCTGGAAGCTCCCTTCTAGGTGAGCCCTGGGCCCCGGGGTCTCGTGACAGGACTGGGAGGGAGGAAGGATACAGAGAGAAGTGGAGAGTTCCTGACCTTTGCAGAATCAAAGCCAGTTGTTGTGTTTCCTCCACTTTCTTCCGGCAATCTCTACAAGCTGGAATGGGAGAATGAATTATGGTGGAGCAGGAAGGGGCCTGGGATTTTTAAGGAAGCTGAGTTGAATATCCTTTAGGAGCGATTGTGGGCGATTAGACTCTGGAGCCCACGCATCAGTGTCCAGAGCCATGCAACCAGTGAGTGACAGCAAAGAACAGGGAGAGGGGCCACATTTGATTGTAAACAGGTTGCTGCCACAGCCATCAGTCCCCGTGGTCCTCACAGCCACACTGTGGGTCGCCATCTCACAGAGGAGTCACCTCAGCAAAGTAAAGGACCTCTCCACAGGAGGACCCGGAGGGCCACCACCAACCTGGCAGCCTTGCTCACCTTCTGGCCCCCACGGCTTGGTTCAGAGCACAGAGCCTGAGAGATCCTGAGTGCTGATCTCCTTCTCAGGATTCTGGTCTCTCAGAGGCAGGAAAAGAGATCAAGCCACCTCTGCAGGAAGGGCGGAGCCTTACCTTTCAGGATGCTTCTCTTCTTCTTGCTTTTCTTCCTGCACCTCTTCTCTATCTGATATGGAGAGACAAGGAAAAGGGGTTGGTGCCCGGTCCTCATTCTCTTCACAGAAAAGCTGCCAGCTCATGCTTCTGAATCACTTGCCTCCCACATTTAAATTAGGGAAGTCTGCGTCCTTCTCTTTTAAAAATACTAGACTCTGGTTTTCTTCTTGGGAAAACACAAAAGGGGATTTTCTGTGTCAGCTCCGTCATGGGTATTCCTCAGCCATTGGCAGATTCCTTTCCACAGGCTCTTCACAGCTGCCAGCAGGGTTCAGCTCCCTGAGCCTAGAGGGGACTCCAGCCGTGACGGAGGCCTTAAGAGCTCAGCACAGCCTCACATTCTCAGCCCAATACCCAGGGATACCTTAGTTCAGAGGCATCTGCTAGGAGAGGTCACTGATGACCAGTGGTCCTCCCCAGAGGTCCCCGACCTCTCAGGAGTCCAGTCCTCAGCCACAGCGTGTGTCTTGCTATGGACCTGAAGCTCACCACACAGATGGTCTGAGAGCTTCAGACAGGAGAAGTCTTAGGGCACACTCCCTCCCTGCCCTGCCCTGCCCCACCTGGCCCAGAAGAATGACCTCTGTTCTTTCCTGAGATGTTTGATAAGAGGAAAGAAGAGTGGGAAAAAGAGAATCATGCTCTACTGTGTTTTGATCAAAGGTTCCTTACCTTTTTGATATTCCTATTTTTCAAAGGCGGCAGCGAGAATACATTATTGTGGAAGTAAGGGCCTAATAGGATAAGGAGCACCAGTCCCCCCACAAAGGCAAGGATTATTTCCATCACCCAGGTGGTGGAGCTGGGACTCAGCTAAATGGCATTAATTCTTTTCAGAGGAAAGAGAGGACTCATTATCTGAATTGTAAAGTCACTCTCAGGTAGCTGCGTCCTGAGAGCTCCCTTTGAGAGCAGGGAGTAGGGCTCAGGCCAGCATCACAAGAGCTAGGACCCCTCATCACAAAGGGAGCTTGAGAGTGGGGGGAGGGGTGGTCAGAAGAGGCTGCACTACACCCCTCCTCCACCCTCCTGGGCCTTCTAGATCCTTCCTTCCAATTCTGCCTGCTCCACTTGTCACATGTCGACTTTAGTGCATTTTCTGTTGTTCACCATGGAACACAGAAATTACCTGTTTGCTTGCAGATCTCTGCTTGAACATCCTTTTTCATAGTTTGTGAAAATGGGAGTTGTCTCTGGAATTATTATTTCAAAGTGATTATTTCTTTCTCCATTTCTTCTCTCAGTGACTTAAACTCACCCACATTATATGTTCTTGTCTTGCATCATGGAACTGAAATTTATTTTGTACTTATTTAGCTTTCTGAATTTTGAATAAAAAATTTTTAGAATTTTTAGAATTTTATTTTTAGAATTTTCCAATAATTTTACTGTCTTCAGCTAAAGGGTCTTAAACAAAAAAAATACTTATAAAAAATTCATGAATTTGAAATAAGTGTTCAAAAGCTATTTTTTTGTATACTGTTTTCATAGTAAATAACACTTAAAATGTAGAAGAAATTTTGGAGACTTGTGTACATACACAAGTGCACATCCACACACCCACACACCCTTTGACAAATCAACCCCCTGCTTTCACTCTAAGAATGAAGAATTTCTTGCTTCCCAAAAGCCTTCCTTAGTGTTTCTTGTACTGCTGGCAGCAAATTTTCTCAGGCTGAGTTTATCTGACAGCATATTTTTCTTCATTATTAAAGGATAGATTTACTAGACATGGACTCTTGGGGTGACTTCCCCCCCCACACACTGCCTTGAATACGCCACCCACAGCCTCCTTCGATTGTTTCAGAAGTCAACTGATGACCTCACTGTGGTCTCCTTGTGCACAGGGGAGTTGTTTTTGTTTTGTTTTTAAATTTGTTCTTCTTAGTTGTATGTGACAGAGTCTATCTTGACATTTATTTGCTAGAAAAGGGATGAATCTGGAGAGTTTTTTTCTCTGAGCCCTTGAAGATTTTCTCTTTGCCTTTTCACAGTTTCACTGTGATGTGTCTAGGAATGGATATGTTTGTTTTCATTTTTAAAGAGGGGAAACATTGAACCTAGATTCAGGAAATTTCCAGCCCTTATTTCTACAAGTATTTTTCTTCCCCCTTCTCCTTCCTTCCTTTCCTCCCTCCCTCACTCCTTCCTTCCTTTCTTTTCTTCCTTTTTTTCTTTCTTAACCACTGAGCCACATCCCCAGTCCTTTTTATTTTGAGACAGGGTCTCAGTAGGCTTAGGGTGTCACTAAGTTTCGAGGCTGGCGTTGATCTTGTGATCCTCCTGCCTCAGCCTCCCAAGTTGCTGGGATTCCAGGCCTGATTCACTGCACCTGGCCTCCCTCCTTTCTCTCTGAGTCTCTCCTTCCACAGGTGGTGGTAGCCCTGGTGATGGGGATGTCCAGATCAGGCAGCACCACTTGCTGGAAGGATCTCTGCTCCGCGCTGCTGTGTCCCCTCTGCTTCAGGTTGGCTGGACTGATGAGGGTCTGTTTCTGGGCTGTCCATTCTGTTCCACTGACTGTTTTTTGTTCTTTCTCCAATATCCCACTGTCCTGGTAAGTGTTGCTCCACAGTAGGTCTTGAAGTCAGGTATCATCAGCCACTTGTTTATCCAGCTTCGTTTATCCCCAGTGTTGTTTTCACTATTCTGGGTTTTTGCCTCTCTTTTACAAACTTTAAAATCAGTATTTCAGTCTCCACAAAATACCTTGCTGGGATTTTGTTGGGATTGCATGCACTTTGTAGAGCTGAGTTGGAAAGAACTGACATACTAATGATATTTAGTTTTTCTATCCATGGGAACATCAACTGTCTCCTCATTCATTTAATCCTTTGGTTTATTCCATAACAGTTTATTAGTTTTTTTTTCACACAGAGCCTACAAATATTTTGTTAGTTTTTCCATGAGTATTTAAGTGTGGGGAGGCTAAAATAGATGATCTCATTTTTAAATGATTATTTTGAGTTCCTTATCTGATATTTCATCCACTTCAGTATTTTCGTCATCACTTACTGTTGAAGTATGACCTTTAGGAGGTGTCCTGTTACCTTGTTTTAAATATTTTTTGTATTCCTGTGTTGTTTTACTTCATCTATTGGAAGGAATTTCTCCTCCACTCTTGTGTGTTCCTTTTTAGGGCAGGTTTTCATTTCCTGTATTGAGACCCTCTCCTAGGCGTGGTGTCCATTTTTCTTTGTTTTTACTATAGCGATGAATGTCCTTAGGTGAGACTGGGGGACCACGCCCAGCAGTTTCTACTTGGCGCTTGGTCATAAGTTTGGGTTTTTGTGTCTTTGATTCTTTGTATTAAAGTTTAGCTGAAGATTGAGTGTCAAATTGATGTGTAGAGCAAGGTAAGCTGTCTTCTGGTTTAATTCAGCAGCAGAGTTTCTACCCTGTGAACTTGTAGTGTCTCTGCAGTTCCCAGAACCTCACAGAATAGGGAGAAACAACAATAGCAACAACCAATGCAAACAATATTCAGCATTGGTTTCTACTATGCCATCTATAATGTTAACTTACCACAACAAACAGAAATGGTAGGGTTAGCAATTGCCATCAGCAAAAACGATAAGTAACCGTGAACTATATCTGGCATCAAAGCAAACAACAGATGTCAGCTATGTCACCCATAGCAGTAATAATTGCAACAGCATTAATACTGGGGGCAGGATTTATAGAAAACAAGTAGTGCTAAAAGATGGTAAGAAAATAGTTAATTTACAGAAAAGAAAATGTATAGGTAGGAAGGTCAAAAAGAGTTTATAATTTCAAAAAGTAAATAGAATGTAGGATATGATAGTGATAAGAAAGGAGAAAAAATGTAAGAAACAAAATAAAGGGAGAGTGAAAGAGTAATAGCATTTGGCTGTTAGCTGAAGAAAAGAGAGAAAAAGAAACAAGAGAAACACAAATGAAAAATGATACAGAAACAAAAATCAGAATATAGTAATAAAAAATCCTAACCCTGAAAGGCAAGGCAAGGGTAAATAACCACACTTAAACAAAGCTAAAAATGGGAAAAAAGAAACAAATGTATGCGTATGTAGTCTGTGAACCAATTAGCCCAGCACACACGGGCGCCTGCACACACATACACACACACACACAGAGAAGGAAAAAAAGATTGTTAACAAAAAATTAAGGAAGCATTTCCATTGAGATGGTCAAAATAGTACATGAGAACAGATGGTCACTGTCTGTTTCTGATTGTCGTCCTTTTCCTCTTTCTTGAGCTGTGTACTGAGAGTGAGAAGAAGGGCTGAGGGTTGTTAGATCTTTCCTCTTTTTGTGTTGTTCACCAAGCTGCCAGCTGGAGTGACTAGGTAGGCTGGGAAGTCCTGTCTGCCCAGAGCAGGTGGAGGGTTCCCAGGCTGGGGCAGCTGCAGGGCTCTGTGGGTCTAATGAGGCAACAGGGGCATTGCTGGGTGGTGCCTGCTCTGCAGAGATTATGTGGGGGCACCCTTAGGGCCTGGCAGGTGTCAATCTGCTGAGAGTCTGGGTCTTGGGAGTCTCCCTAGGATTTCACTTGTTGGGTTGGGGAGCCAATTCTTCAGTCCTTCTGCTGCCCATGAACCTGCCTGTCCAGGCTTCCTGGGCTTAGTCCCTGGGCTTAGTCACGCCTGCCTCTTCAGATTCCTGATGTGCCTAGCTGGTCACACGATCTACCAGATTCAAGGGGGAGGTGAATTGGGCTCCCCTTCACTTTTCTGACTAGAATCCCCCTTGGTGAAGTTCGCTCTCCACCTGTTCTGCTCTGATTCTGCTAGGCATCGATCGCCTGGGTCAGATGGCAGGCACTTGCTCGACCTTGTAGCCGTGTTTGCTCAGGTCTTCCAGCTCTTGCAGCAGCGTCTGCAGTGTGGCAACCTCAGGAGGGCTCCTTCTTCAGCCCTCTGTGGCATTTGGGAAACGTGGGCACTTTTCATGTACCAGTGCACAGTGTAGCCTCTGGATCAGCTAAGGGCAGGCTCCTTTTCTGATCTCAGGATGTTCCATACTAAATTGGCAACTGGCTGGTCTCCAACGTAGTCTTTCTTCTTAGTTTAATAGACCAAATTTCTGAGTCTCTAAGACACCCTGGCCAACCAATATGGAGTTTTGATGAAATCCCTCTTTCACCCACCTCACAAAGAAGCAGGACTCCTGCTGCTGGAGTCCCAGGTCACAGAGCAGCGAGGAATGCAGGCTTCCTCTGGTCTGCCATCTTGAATCTTGCAGCGGACATGATTTCTTCCTCAAATGTATGTTAGGATTAATTTGGAACTACTCTAGGTCTGGTGCTTTCTATTTGGGAAGGTTGTTTATTATTTATTATTAATTTAGCATCTTAGACAGATGCAGTCCTATTCAGTTTGTTCATTTCTTTTTGTGATAGATTTGGCCTATTTGCCTTTCAAGAAATCATTCCATTTTATGTAGCTTATTCAGTTTGTGGGCACAGATTTGTTTATGGTATTCTTTTGTTTGTCCTTTTGATGTCCATGTGATCTGTATCGATGCTACCTCTTTAATTTCTGGTATTGGTGATTTGTGTCTTCTTTTTTTCCCCTTTGTTTGCCCACCTAGAGGCTCATGGATTATATTGGTTCATTTTATTCTTAATTGACAAATAATAATCATGTATTTATAGGTATAACAGAGTATGATTTTCTCTAGGAACAGGGTATCATCAGTATAGGAACCAGATATCAGTAGGGGATGAGGACAGAGCAAGGTCCTGAGCAGCCGTGCAGATAGCCCAGAGGCTGGTCCCGGAATGACCTCGGTCCTCTTTGAGTATCTGGCCAGATGAGGGGGTTGTGGTCCACTGCTACAGTGGTGATCCCAAACGAACCACACCTCCAAGTGTTCATTCCCTGCAAACACTGACTTTAGACTTGACCATATGATTCGCTTTGGCAAATGCTTTTTGGTCAAATGTCATGTAACAGAGACTAGTG